TGATATCTAAAAAGAAGTTGCTCATTTATAATTGGCCATGTGGTATGAGAGTTTCTCATTGATTTCTAGATTTAGAATCTCATCTTCCTCTCTCTCTTACTTTTCTAATTTTCTTTTCAATTTTTGCTTATTTTTATTACATAGATACTTAATAAAAATCTACCATTGGAGATGCTCTCAGCAACGACTAGAGATTATGGTGACAAGGATTTCATTTGAATGCTCAGAATTTTCTTGACGTCAGAGAAATAAAAACAGATTTACACCGCTGCGAATCTTTCATGTTCTTCTCTTGAAACTAATGCTTATTTATATGTTTTAATGCAGATAGCTAACATTACACATGATTTAACAATTTCTATGTTGGTACATCTCGTGAAGTCATTCTTCCAAAATCCACTAATTAAGAGAAAGATACAAACATATTTTAGGGTTTATAAGGATGTTAAAGAAGAAGAAGATAACAACAACACATAGAGAAACAAGTATAGATGAATAAAAAAAAATCAAAAAATGTTTGAAGATGAACTCTCTCACTTTGTTTTTTTTAAAACATTTCATTAGCTAATTTTTTTTGAGTTTTTGGGTTTTACATTTACTATTAAATAGTGGGCCTAGCCTTACAATCCCGGAATGGACTCAGCATAGGCATAAGTCAAAACAAAGCTAATGGGCCAGACCCGCGAAAATCTTACTGCAAACATGAAACCCTAATCCTAAGCGCCACCATCGGAAAAGAAGGCCCTGGCGGTGGCACTGACTTAGACGGTGAACAGGCATGACGCATGTCCCCTAAACCAGTCTAATGGCAAAGGGACGGAGGATCTCAATTCATACTAAACAAACCATTCCGAGAAGTTCAAAACGAGAAGCTAAACGAAAGAAGAGACAGGCCAACAAAACAAAAGCCACCGGACTATCCAGACTAAGCATGAGAGATGCAGACTTACCAACACCAAGTGCTAAAGCAAAAGAGAAAAGATGAGGCAGGGCCGAAACAAGCCAAGATCTAAGCAGATATGAGCTGATAACCAAACGAAAATCCCAAACTAGCGAAGACAGTGGAGATGAAGGACCGAAGAGATGAGAAATGACTTTACCTTAGGATCTCAAGCAAGAGTAGCAGAAGAGGTAGGATTGGCCACTAGGAGGCTGGAAGTAGGGAAAAAATCAGATCGTCGATGAGATCTGCCATCCTAAAAGGGAGACATCCGAAGCAACTGCTACCACGAGGCCACTCACTGCCACACCACAAAAGAACCATCAGATGCACCGCAAGTCAAACCAAACCGCGGCGATGTCTTCTTTCTTCGAAAAGCCACTGCATGAGTTCCAAGTCGGAGGACCCTCGCAGATCCCGACAATGAGGATCCACCGAGGAACACAACTGAAGCAGAGACAAACGAAGCCAGAAGAAACCGAAGTCACCATGCATCCTCACCGGAAAAAGAGATCGATCGCCACCAACTTTATCAGAAAGAGCCATCACCGCAGTTGAAGAACATTAAGCCACAACAACATGGATGCAAGGGGCCTCTCACAGCGCCGCCGTCGCCGAACGCCGGAGAGGCAGAGCAAATCTAAGGAGATGGCGGCTAGGGTTCTTTAGGTTTTTGTAGAGAGAAAATAGAGAGTTTCTCTCCCTTTGTTTCAACTTCTCTCTATATATTATGGCACTATTGTTGTCGAATCTTCTTATCTTTAACTACTTTGTAACAAACTTTTTACAACTTTTAATGGTAAGCTTGATTCTGGGCTTTAATCATTTACTTAGTTTTGCTTCCTTGTTTCTTCTTTTCTCTTGCGTCTCACCCAATCTTAATATCCAAATAAATTTTTCGTAAAATATACTTGATTTAATTTTTGAATTCTTCTTAAAAGCTAAACTTTAACATATATTTTTCAACATCGTTTTTTG